CCCCTCCATAGTTTTTTTTTTCGCGATAGCTCCGAACACGCCGGTGATAAAGAGCTGAAGCTTTGCATACCTGACCTTTGAATCAAGCCGGATCTTTTGACACCAACCGCATTTTCGGGTCAGATCAGGTCACTGACCCATGAGGTCATAAGTGAACCTCTGCACGGTTTTCAGATGTCGCAACTTCGCAACGCCCTCACTGCCAGAGGAGATTTCACAGGGAAATGAACCTTGGAGGACCTAGTATCCATTAGGAGTCTCACAACTTGTACATCTCGGATTTTTCCTAATGTCATTTTCGTGACCTCACCATTAGTTATAAGTCAATGGGGATAAACTGAAAACTTTTTCTGGCGCCGTAAACGATCTTCAACTATCTCAAGCACACTGAATCTTTCATGCACTCCTTGCAAGGTTCGATGCGTCACTTTTGCAATGTTGACCTTGCGCGACGTCATTTATGAAGTTATAAGGGTCATATAAGTTTGTCGTCAATAACTACCGATCAAATTGAGCTAACGAGTCCGGGAAGCCATCAATAGACTCAGGAAGACCTGCCGAATCGAATGATATGCGACATGACCTCCTTCGACCAATTTCGTGACCTGGGGGCGCTGACCTGACCGTGACCCGTGGTCAACACCCTCAGTTTACCTCACCCAAACAAAAAGTACATCATTCGACGCGCCTGAGAGAGGCGGACACGATGCTGGCAAAATCGCGGCTCTGCGGCCGTTTTTTGCGAAGTTATTCACCAAAAACGGAACCGTGCCTTGAGGCACTTGACCTGACCTCAGAGGTCACCGGTTGACCTAGAACCTTAAAATCGAGTATCGATCTCTGCGTCTTGTAACGGCGCACACGCTCGTTTTTCCGCGACGCGCTAGCTCAACCTGGGGCGCAACGGCGAGGGGGGTCGTACCCGCCCCCCGCCCCCTCGGCCGGCGCGTATGTAGAAAACCTATAGGTCCGGTCCGGCGAGGGTTAAACTGGCCTCTGATGGCCCAGACCGACCTCTAAAAGTCCCACACCGGCCTCTGATAGTCAATCAGCCCAGTTGCAGTGGTCGCTGATATAAAACCTCTTAAAAACGTTATAGGTCTGGCTGAGCCTAGCTGGGCCGTTCATGCTGATTTTTATAGGTATATTGAAAAGACTCGCTTTGCACGTTTCACGCTTGCTCGTAATGAAAAAGTTGCTGGATGCCTCTGGAATTTGCATGGGTGCCAACGGCTGCGGAGGACAGGGGAACGCGTCCATCAGTTTGAGTTTATGGACGGGAGTCTCCCTGAAATTTTAACCATTTTTGTTTTTGTTTTTGTCTCGATTTCTTTTTATCTCTGATCATGTTTGCGAAAACAAAGTGGCCGAAATCCGAGGAGAAATCGGATATTGGGGGTAGGTTAGGTTTTGGACCTCTGGGACCTTGGCCCCCCCGCTTTCGAAAACGTTCCTACGCCTATGCTCTTATTTCGTCAGTTGACTTCAGCTTCAGCATTCTTTAGGAATATAAGATCAGCCTACAGACTAACCCATACTATTTACAACGTTGTCTGGCCAAGCACTGTCCAAAGTTCATTGCTGGTATGTTGATGCATGACATTATTGTATGTAGACTCGAGAGCGCTTTTCACGAAGCTCGCACAGGCACCGGAAGCTAGTTCACGGCGCGTCCGCCAGAGGCGCTGTGTCCGGCCTCGGTTGTCGATGGGTGGTCGCTCGGTAGCCCCAATGTAGTCAGGCACCACGGTCGTTTGGTTCAGTATTTAGTGCAGCGCCCGCGTGCCAGTGTGTCGCACTTACTGGTGTACCGTGGAGTGCCGGGGCTGGTGAGGCGTCGGGATACCCTGTCCCTGCAGCGTGGCTCTGCGGTCGGTCAGCTAACAGCCTGTGCAAGGTTATTGTTCAGTCCGTCAGTGTGCGTCTATGGACCGTCATCACCTAACGGCCTGTCTAAGACATGCTGTTTATTTGTAGTGCGTCTCTGCTGCCTTTATAAGACGTGCTCTATGTAGACCTTAGTAAGGCTTAGCTGTAGGGTAGCCTGGGGCAAGACGCCCCAGATAATTTATTTTGCTACATAACTTTTTTCCCACATCACCTGAAAGGGCAAATTTGTGCTCGATGCGTTCTTTGGACATTTTACTTTAAATTCCACCCCTCAGATTCATTCACTTATGATCGGACTCCCAGCTAAGAAGTGATTTGTGAAGCAACTGCAAATAGGGCGTTTTGCCCCAACCCCAGGGCAAAACGCCCCACGGCCTGGGGCAAGAAGCCCCATACTCTAGATTAAAGATTAAACATGCTAGTTGACTAAATCTTATATGAGAGGTCCGTTAGACCTTGGGAGGCACGGCACTGAAGTTAGCACCTTCCATCCTATCAGGTGTTCAGCTACGACATAATTGTATGAGCAGGTTTTTCACCTGCCTCATAAGGCCAAATAATAAATTATCACAATGCAAATGTTAACAAAATACTTCCTTTGCCATCCAGTTGCTGAGAAAAATACATATAAATGCATAGAAACATATCGTTCGCCAGCTACCGAACATTAGGAAGTGGGTAGTCCGAACAACACATGAGGTAAAACGCCCCATGGGGCTTTTTGCCCCGCGACCTACTGGGGCGTTTTACCCCAGCACGTAGTTCGGTCAGAGAACAACGCCTTGCACTCCAGGAAGACATAATCTAACACGAACCAACCCGGCATTATAAGCGTTAGACAATAGTTGTTTAAAATACATAAAAGTCGTTAGCCTGAGGTGGACGATAAAAGAACGCCATGATGCATAATCTGACAACAAAACATAAAAATCACTCCAAAAACACATTTCTGGCTATATCTCCCTAAAGAGTCATCACAATTTCTTTCCAGTCTGCTCATATAATGATCGTATAGTGCACGTTTTATAGAAGAGAGGATGTTTCCCCAGAACCTTGCCAGTTCCGAGAAACATTGGTGAGGCGTTTTACCTCGGCGGGGCGACTTGCCCCGGTCTACCCTATTGATTAGACGTGTTGTTTGCAGCATGCTCGTCAGTAAGGCCCGAAAGGTCAGCTATGCAATGCACCATTTGTACAAAACTTTATAGCGTTGCATTTGTCTGTATGACGTTCCTTCATGGTTGTAATCAAAGCTGGACGTTTCGTGTGCGATTTTTACGTGTTTTTACGTTACGTGCATACCAAAGCTCGTCATTTTCCGCCTCGGAACTCTGTTAGGTATTTAGCATTACCTAACAAACTTGTCGAACGATGATTTGTAATGCTCATTTAGATAGCTAATACTTGATAATGGTAGTTAAAGAGAATAAGTAGCCATTTAGTGTAACCATCTGGAGGTTGTCACCATAAAACTCGTTACTTGTGGCCATCGCCAGAGGCATCGCCGTACGCCCTGACGAGTTCGCTCACGGAGTGTCGTTCTCCGGCGCCGGACTGCACAAAGTGCCCATCCGTGCCAGTGCTAGGGTGGCACTGTCGCCGTTCTGCAGCTCGGTCCCAGCGCCGGGTACACGGAGCGCGCCAGAGCGAGGCGTCACCGTCTCACGTCACGATGCTCGTCGGATGACGATGCTTTTACGTGATACGTATGATATCTGCGCCAGACTATCAACCGAATCCATTTGATGTAGGCACATGATTTAGGATGTCCTTTTGAAATTGGATCAGGATGCATCAAAAAGACACTCCATCTTCCAATTTAAGTAGCAGTCTCTATTTCGACCGCCATTACCAGCACATCTTTAGACTGCGTACCTAGTCTGGCTAGTCTTCACTAGTCTAGTCTAGTCCTAGACGTTTTGTTAAAACTGTGTGTTTCCACAAGGTTGCTCAGGTGTCCTTGTGTCATTGCTGCTTTGCCACAACTATCTGCTAGATGAAGAGCAGCTCAAGGCTCCTTTTTGTTGATACACGCGGTCGCTCAATTATCAGTCGATATGTTGCCTCAAGTACAGGTGCCAGTACAAGTGTGCTAGTGACACTCGCTGCGCGGTTTATCACCAATGCCGAGCGGGACGACCTCGCCCGCATCAGCCCGGCAAATTACTATATAATAAAATTACTGCAGCTCGTTCGAATTTATGTTGCTGCGTAGGCAACAAATTTACTGCAGCATGTGCGACGTACATGAGATGATCGAGCATGGTTTTGCCACTGGCCAATATAAGCGTTCATATTTATCGTGCTGAAGGCCTCTTTTTACATCGCTGTGCAACGAGACCGGTTCTGGTCGGCACCGACCTGCCCTGTCAGAGACCGGCTGTCACACCGACCTAATTTTAGTTAAGTTTAGTTTAGTTTATTTTCATAATCATCAACGGGTCGTTGCAACCCAATTATAGATGAAGTCATACGTTGCATAAAACACAGGACGCATAAAATACACATATAAAACACATATACCCCTACTATACCCCTAATAAGTAATCATGACGCAATGACCCTACCCCGCAGCCCACTGATTATCGTCATCTCACTAATCCAAGCCTGTCTCCCCGACCCAACTCTATCGCATCGCCCCCGCCCCACGATCGCCGTATCGAACCCTGTCCCGCACCACCCGCCCTGGGATTTGGCCACGTGACGGATGACATAACCATGTAGTCCCTGATATAAAAAATAACCAACCCAGTCTTATGTGATTGACTTGGTATTCAGCCCTTGTTTTTCTGCTGAGGGCTTTCCAATCATTTTGCCACGCTCCTAATTATTGTTGAATGTTTTCTCCAAGACCGATCCCATCCACGGCCGTCTTGTTCATTTTTTTGCACTGTTTCTGTGCTCTTTTCTTTTTAAAATTGATGTCGAAGCGCCGTCTTTTTGTTTTCTTCGCGGTAGCAGATTATCGTTTATATGCTTTTCTCTCAGATCTTTTTTATTTTTATTAGTTATCAAATCAAGTTCAGCCTCTCTGGCCTCTTTCTAAATGCACCATCAACTCCAGTTCACCGCGGGACTGTTTAGATGACCGTGGTCTCGCCCCGTTCCAGCTCTGGCACCCTGCGCTGTGAGATCCCGCAGGTAGCGCGCACAGACCACCATGCGGATCCGGCCCAGAGAGGTGCTGCTTCTCACCGTCTGCCTGGCAGGTGAGTTGGCCGAACACGGCTACATAGTCCGCCGGCTGGCAGACTGGGTTTGTCCGTTACTAGATGTTACTTTTCGGGTGTAGTGGTTTTGTCCGTTGCACTGTCTTTGTCCGTCAGATATTCGTCTTTTCTCAACCTTTCTGCCGCTGTTAGCATACGTCGTTCTTCTGGAGCTTTCTCTTTGTGTGCTTTACATGTCACATTCTAGCCATGCTGGTAGTGGGGTTTGGGATTAATTTGCTTTGTTTTAACTTGCCAGTGCCAACAGTCATAATTTCCATCACATGCTATTTAGCCAACTGCTGATAAAATTCAAGGCCTTGAATGAAGGGTCGTGGTGATCAGTAGCAGAAAATCTGCCAACTTTGTTTAAAGCCCAATTCTAAGCTGTGCAAAGGAGCGGCCCATATCGTTTTCTCTGCGATTTAAACTGTAAACAAGGTCTAAAGTGGTATGTTTCGGCGCTGGTTATGCTATTGTCTCGCCTCCGTGGCCGTTTGCGGCTGTTTGTGGTGAACTGACCTGACCCGCCAGCAAATGACTGGGTGTCTGTGGGTCCGCACGACGTTAGATGGCGTTCAGTGACGTAGCGCGCACCAAGTTTCAGGGCTGCTGATTCTGTCTCTGTGTGCTGACGGCCACTGGAGCCAGCTCCGCCAAGGTACCCACTCTGACCCCACACGCCCCCTGGCGGGTCCTAACGCTAAGGTGGTGCTCTGCTGGCTTACCTAACCTACCGCAGGCGCCGGCGGCCGCAGCAGCGGTGCCAGCGACGGTGTCCAATTTTGGGGTGGTGGTGGTGGTGGTGGTGGTGGTGCGACAGTAAAGGTGGTGGTGGTGGCTTTGGTGTTGCTTTTGAAATTGATCATCGCTCAGGCAGTCTCTCCTTAGTCCTTCCCGTCCTGTCGACGTTCGTCAATTAGAACCGGTGTTCCGTATGTGTAGCGTAAAATCAGACCGAGCCTAGGCTAGTCACCTATGGGTGAGCTCAAGAGGACCAGACTCATGAAATATGAATGTTTTCATTTAAGGCTCAAGCTCCGGTTAAAAGGTTCAAAGTAAGCGAATCACAGACTAAATATTTGAGTGGCTTTCAGAGCCAGCACATGAATCTGGGCTTGCCGCTCCCGTGCCTTACGCCACACCACCACCCAGCTGGGCTTATGGTGGTTCGAGTGAGGTGACATTGCGCAGGGATCTCTGTCAGGGGACGGCATGACCCTGTGTCTGTGCAGACTGCGCGTCATATACGGCTGATATCGCTGGCAGTGACGCCGCCCGTTTCACTTGCCAACTACCTCTTCCTGGCGCCATTTGTCTTGACGCGTATTGCGTCCTGTCGCAAACTGCGGCGGGACATTAAAAGAGCGAGACAAAACAAAACTGGACGCAGCAATCGGACTGAGAAGAAAAAAACTGAGCGTGTCTTTTCGTCCGCTGTGAAAAGTCACACGCTTGCTCACCTGTCTGCGTTATTTCATCTCACTTGCACGTACGAGTGTCACATTATGCTTATAATGCTCACCGGGGTGTGGTTTCGGGTCCCTGAACACGCTGGAGCATTCCAGGCTGGTAGCGCTTTGATGCATGCCAGATCCACTTCCGTTTCAGCTGTTCAACAGTTGAATCTCCGACCCCGATTTATGGTTTGGTTATTTTATAGTAAGGTAGACATTCCATGGTGATTAACTTTATCGACTTCGTGAGAAAACGAGTGCTTTAACCCGCGCACCGACGGGGGTCTGCGCCAACTTCGCACCGACGGGGGGGGGGCGGATGACCGCCCCCCCTGAGATCTCGAGAACGAAGCAAGATAGCGACAAGCGGTAAACGGCATCGGATACGCACGGCCAAGATCTACAATTTTTACTCAGGTCATTTTCAGGTCAGGTCAAAGATGACGTCACAGGGGTCGAAAAAGTCAAAATGGCGGCGCTAGATATGGAGAGAGTTTTTCTCGAATAACTTTCGAATTAGTCAAGATAGGAACAAACTAAGGGCATCATCGTGATCCTCTCGTCAATCCGCATCGAATGATATATGTTGACCTCGAAAGGTCAAGGTCAAAGGTTGACCTCAGGTCACGTGACCTCGAGGTCATCATGTATATCATTCGATGCGTCTTGACGAGCTGAACACAATGAGACCATCCACACGTCTGTATCTTGTTCCTGTACGGAGTTATTGGCCAAAAACCTTTAGTGACCTTTGATGACGTCACATGACCTCACAGCTGCCCAACAGCAAAACAGACCTCAAGGTAGTGAAGGTTGATCGTATATGAAGTCATGTATGGTATATGGGGCCATTCCGACCCGTTTTAGTGGTAAAAACAGGGAGTTGATTTTCCCCCATTGACTTATAATGGGGAGGTCGCGAAATTGACCTGACCTTAGGTCACCGATATCAAAATTCCGAGATATACAAATTGTAGCTACTAATGACCTAATAATATCCTGCGACTTTCAAAGGCCTTCGACATCTATTGTAGCTGTGGCACGGTGACAAAGTTGCAAAAAAGTGACTTGAGGTTGGGTCATTCAAAGTGACCTGGTGACCTGACCTTAAAAGGTAGGAAGTTCAAACTTGCACACCATGTGTAAAATTGATGAGGTTATAGTCATACCAAATTTCGCGGCGCTACGCGCCGCGGTTTTCCCGCTATTCGCGAAAAACCTCAGGGGGGCGGATATCCGCCCCCCCCCCGTCGGTGCGCGGGTTAAAGGTAGTGTGCCAGCTTTCCTGGACCGTATGGAGTTAATGGCCCAGATAAGGAGAACCGGATTTTTAGAACTTATCCATACCTTCAAAACTCATGGAAACGTCTTAAATTCTTCAAATTTTGAGTACCCCAGTGCGAAATTCGCCCCGACGGGTTGTCGGTCGTACCCCAACCACATTTCACACCACTATGAACAATAAATGCACACACTGAAATCGCTATTACCGATATGCTCATCCAATCAAGTTTCGATAAACCCGTTCATCATCAGCTCCTGCGGTTTCGAACACGCCTGTTAGGTGGTGCGGTAGACCGCGCCCAAAGCCAGGGCCCCGGTAACGTGAGGTAGCCGAGTCAGGGCAGCGTGCGCTGACCCAAGCCGGAGCCGCGCGTCCTCCCGGTGTCATGTGATAGCCCGGGGCTGCCCGCGGGGATGCGGTAGACCGCGCCCAAAGCTGCGGCCCCGGCTTGGGTCAGCGCACGCTGCCCCGACTCGGCTACCTCACGTTACCGGGGCCCTGGCTTTGGGCGCGGCTTCTGCTCATACTTTGTGGTGCGGTGGTGGTGCGTCGGGCTGCGCGCTCTGACTTCGGCCAAGAAAAATGCGTCAGCTGATCATTGTCATTTCTGCCCACGGACGTATAAATAAACTGGACTGACGATCCCAATGGACCTCCTATGGAAGATAGTGAAGCCGACAAGGCGCCATTTTACGTTGCCAAAAACCCGTGCTCTGGAAGGTCATCGAACCATTACAATTGGAATTGCGTCTAAACGGATGATCGGATCGAGATGCTGGTGGTACCGTTCGATGGGTAATGCTTTGAGGCAGGTGATGATGCATGACACAGGTCATTCAGTGTCACGTGGCGCGTGCCACGTGCCGACAAAGTCGGGAAGGGCAAAAACCTTTAAGCGACGCTCCAAATTAAACGGTGGACGGCACAGGTGCCAAATTCACAGGTCACATGTCCCGGTGTTTGACCATTACCATATAGTATGCTCGGCAGCAGGGGGTGCGGAATGCACGCGCCAGGGGCGAAAAACATGTTTTGAGGATGCATCCTCCGATTCCGGAAAACCTTGACCTAGGCACACCAAATTTGGCACACTGACACTACTGGCCGAGCGCTTTAAGGCGCTGTGCAAATAGATGTGCTGGGGTACACGGTGCACGTGCTGTGCACGTGCAAACCTTTTGATGTTGCACTCTGTGTCACATATACGGGCAGAGCGGGTAGCGCGAGCAAGCTCAAAGTGCCAAATTTACACAGGCCACCCAGAATGCATTCCAGCATAGTTATTGAGCATATCTATCTCCTGGTGGACCCCAAAGGTGCGCTCTGCACGTGCAAAAAACTATCCGCGCCGGGCGGTGGGGATGCTTGGACACCCCATGTAGGTTTATGTAAATATCTCAAAAACGGCGTTGTGGAGCGCCACCGTTTTTAGCACACCCTTTCATGAATCTTTTTCACACATTCTGCATAACTTTCAGACCCAGGTCACTCAAGGTTAGGTCACCAGGTTACGTCCAAGTGGCATTACCTTAGGAAAAGTTATAATGCCCGTCATAGCTACACAGACTGAACAATCGGTCTAAAACGTTGGCGGCGATTACTAAGAGCACCATATAGGTATGCGTAAAGTATCAATTATCCATAGTAAAGTATCAATTATCCATATTAAAGTAGCTTATCCATAGTAGGTGTCAACCACCAATGATGGCGTCGTAACATGTTACGAAGGCACTAAAACTATAACTTCTTAAATGTTAAACTGAATGCTAAATTCGAAATCAGCTCCAAAAACTGTCCTAGAAACGTGTAAAACTCGAAAAGGTGAACCAAGGTCAGTAAAGGTCAGTGACCTTGACCTAATTTTCACGTGACCTTGACACCCACCGGCCACCATATTGCATGTGACCAACATCATATCACATGTTTGAACGCTTGAAACCACGAAAAGACAGCAAACGCGCTGTTAGTGCGCGCCGACGTACGCCGAATCACGATTCCGGTCAAACATGGTCTCGTAATAATAACTTAATATCAGATGCTGATTTACCGCTACTCAGTCAAGTTAGAGCCATTTCTTCTTGGCCGCGGTCACCGGTCCAGGCCACCACATAATCGTATTACACCGCGCTTGCTCAATGCTCAGTTCGTATTGTAAAAGCACTGCGGCACAGCATAGATGCAGGCGCTCTGCTACTGCCATCTATGGGTGAAAGATGAAGATAATGGTTATTGCGGTACAGTATCACTACAGGCGCAAACAGCGTGGAAACAAAGATGCCTATGCTGCGCTATCGGGCGATGGTAGCGTAAATTTGCGTTGCTGGGTAGCTAAAAGTTTTGGAGCCCGAATTAGACAAAAGAAATGGTTTGTTTGCCGTTTTAAAGACCGTATCAAACAATCTGCGGTTACTCTCAAAATTCTTGCTTTGAGATAATTGGTGATTTGTTTATCAAACTGTGGTACTTACAAGCTATTACCAGCACATAACGAACTTCAGGCGACACCGCTCGTCTATGTTTTGTGTCCTTTGCCTCACGTGAGGGTGATGGGTACCTACTGGAGTAGGCAAAAGTGATATCATCTCCCATTTTCAAATGGATCAGCACCTAAATGGTGAGCCGACCAGGGGGACCGACGAACGTTGTTGTTGCCATCATCGACCATAGGTGGCCATCGACCATCGACTATCGACCATCGACCATAGGCCAACGTTTTAGACCGATTGTTCAGTCTGTGTACTGTGTAGCTATAACGGGCATTATAACTTTTCCTAAGGTAATGCCACTTGGACGTAACCTGGTGACCTAATCTTGAGTGACCTGGGTCTGAAAGTTATGCAGCATGTGTGAAAAAGATTCATGAAAGGGTGTGCTAAAAACGGTGGCGCTCCACAACGCCGTTTTTAAGATATTTACATA